CTAAGCTGAGTTGGTGTGAGCTAGTGTCGCACTGTCCCTTGATCTTTGGGGTGGCGCCCCCTGTAGCCGTGTTGCTGGCATCCAGGTCACTCCTCGTGGACGGAAGGAGTGGAAGGGCGGTCCCGTCCGAGGCCTGGTTGCAAAAAGGGGGGAAAGTGAGGGGCCTCAGAAAGGCAGGGGACGGGGTTCAGCTCACACCTCTGGTCCCTCTGCCAGCTGTGACGTCTCTCCCCTTTTCTCTCTCTCTCCTTTCCCTTCTCCGCTTCTCTTTCCATTCTTCTGTCCCAGCATGCTCCTCCTCCCAGGCCCCTTCTCCTCCTCGCCTTTTATTTCCCATTCCCCGCTCCTGGGACCGTCCCTCCACTCCCCTGGCTTGGCCCCGCCCCCTTCAACTAGGGAGACACCAGCTGGGCGTTTCCCGGTTGTGCTCTGGAACACTGGTGGCGGCTTCAGCGGCCCCTGTGCCGCGCCGCCGGCGCTGTCTTGCTGCTCCTGCTGCTCTGCTGCGCCTCCTGGTGCGTCGGCCCGCTCTCCCGGCTCCTCTCCTCGCGGTCGTTGGCAATGTTCTCTCTAAGCTGTGAAGTCTGTAAGCTCTTGGAGGATTGGCTATATTAGGGGTGTGTCGCTTAATATGCAAATGAGTACCTGCTGCAAAAAGAGCCCGGTATAGAATTTCCTCCCTCTAGGTATTTCTCTCTCGTTATGGGCCTCGGTCCAAATGGGGCTCTTATTAGGGCGGGAGAATCTGGGGACGACTCACAACCTTCCTTACCATGTTGGGCTCCTGTCTCTGCAGCTTAGAAAATGGCAGCCGTTACTTCATCTTAGTACAACTGGTAATAATAGCAGGAGGCTAAAAAACTGTGAGCTAGCTCATACTAACTCAGCTTAGAGGGAACACTGGCTCGTTGGCACGGGCTCTGGTCACGTCTGCGGGCCCGCCCGGCTTGGCGTTCGGCGGTTCTCTTCTCCTCTTCTTCGGGGCGGACGGATCCACCCCTCCTCAGTAAGGCGGGCCCCAAGGGACTTGTGAGGCTTGTTGGGTGTTCCGGGGTCCAGCCCTCCTGGCCCGCGACCCCTGGAGCGGGACAGCTAGCTCACAGTTTTTTAGCCTCCGGCTCACACATTTCTGTCTTAGCTCCGGAAGGACGGCTCCAGAGCAAACCAATTGATGCAGCAGCCAAATCGCTCGCTCACAACTTTAATGCCAGAATCTCACAAAGTAGAATTTTTGCTCACAGGACTCCCCAGTTTAGAGGGAGCGTTGGACCCAAGTGCAGGGTTATGGAGTGTATAACAGCATCTCTTTGCAAAGAGTCTGCAGGCAAGCATGACTTCTGAGATGTGTGGGACACCAGAATCTGGACTGTGCCCCCATTAATCCGGACAAGTGGAACACAGAAAGGAAAGCCAAAGAGTTCCGCACAGATTGTCAGAACTAGCTGCATAACCTGATATGGACACTAGGGGGCTCCCCTCACCTGAGATCTGGGCTAGTATTGGGTTTTAAGACCAAATTTACAGAAAGTGTTCCATATTCCTCTGATATTTTATTGCAACAAAAACAGCTTTCAGACAACCCTGCCGTGTCTGTGCCTGTCTCTTTTCAGGGTGTGTGGGGATTTACAAATACCGATAGTGAGCTGTACCTAAGAACCAGAATGGCTTTAGACCCAAGCAGTGTTCCCTCTAAGCTGGGTGTCTGGAAACTAAGGGAGCTGGCTGATATTATACTGTCTTACCATCTGCTAAACATTTACATCTACCCTGTAAACAATATACAGTAAAGAAAATGCTGGTTGTCTTCAAGGGAATATAAAAGGTAAGGGTTCCCTTGCTCGAGTGGACGGAAGGAGTGGAAGGCGGTCCCGTCCGAGGTCTGGTTGCAAAAAGGGGGGAAAGTGAGGTGCCTCAGAAAGGCAGGGGACAGGGTTCAGCTCACCCCCCTGGTCCCTCTGCCAGCACGCTGTGACGTCTCTCCCCTTTTCTCTCTCTCTCTCCTTTTCCTTCTCCGCTTCTCTTTCTCTCTGTCTCCGTTCTTCTGTCCCAGCGTGCTCCTCCTCCCCGGCCCCTTCTCCTCCTCGCCTTTTATTTCCCATTCCCCGCTCCCGGGACTGCCCCTCCACCCCCTGGTTTGGCCCCGCCCCCTTCAACTAGGGAGACGCCGGCTGGGCGTTTCCTGGTTGTGTTCTGAAACACGTTGCACCCCCTGTCCCACGCCGCCGGCGCTGTCTTGCTGCTCCTGCTGCTCTGCTGCGCCTCCTGGTGCGTCGGCCCGCTCTCCCGGCTCCTCTCCTCGCGGTTGTTGGCAATGTTCTCTCTAAGCTGTGAAGTCTTGTGAGCAAAAATTCTACTTTGTGAGCTACTGGCATTAGAGTTGTGAGCGAGCGACTTGCCTGCTGCATAACTTAGTTTGCTCTGGGGCCATCCTTCCTGAGCTGAGACAGAAATGTGTGAGCAGGAGGCTAAAAAGCTGTGAGCTAGCTCATACTAACTCAGCTT